TACTACCACCACCATCAACAACACTACACATACTACCACCACCATCAACAACACTACACATACTACCACCACCACAACAACACTATCAACACCACCACTACACAATACTACCACCACCATCAACAACACTACACATATACCACCACCACCATCAACAACACTACACATACTACTACCACCATCATCAACAACACTTCACATACTACCACCACCACCATCACTCAACACTACACATACTACCACCACCATCATCAACAACACTACATATACCACCACCACCATCAACAACACTACATATACTACCACCATCAACATCACTACATACTACCACCACCATCAACAACACTACATACCACCACCATCATCAACAACACTACACATACTACCCACCACCATCAACAACACTACACTACATACTACCACCACCATCAACAACACTACACATACTACCACCACCATCAACAACACTACACATACTACCACCACCATCAACAACACTACACATACTACCACCACCATCAACAACACTACACATACTACCACCACCATCAACAACACTACACATACTACCACCACCATCAACAACAACACTACACATACTACCACCACCATCAACAACACTACACATACTACCACCACCACCATCAACAACACTACACATATACCACCACCACCATCAACAACACTACACATACTACCACCACCATCAACAACACTACATATACTACCACCACCATCAACAACACTACACATACTACCACCACCATCATCAACAACACTACAACACTACCACACATACTACCACCACCATCATCAACAACACTACACATACTACCACCACCATCATCACAACACTACACATACTACCACCACCATCAACAACACTACACATACTACCACCACTACAACAACACTACACCACCACCATCAACAAACACTACACATACTACCACCACCATCAACAACACTACACATACTACCACCACCATCAACAACACTACACATACTACCACCACCATCATCAACAACACTACACATACTACACCACCACCACAACACACTACACATACACCACCACCACAACAACACTATACTACCACCACCATCAACAACACTACACATACTACCACCACCATCATCACAACACTACACATACCACCACCCATCATCAACAACACTACACATACTACCACCACCATCAACAACACTACACATACTACCACCACCATCAACAACACTACACATACTACCACCACCATCAACAACACACTACACATACTACCACCCCATCAACAACACTACACATACTACCACCACCACCATCAACAACACTCATACTAACACCACATCAACAACACTACACATTATACCACTACCATCAACAACACTACATATACTACCACCACCATCAACAACAACACTACACATACTACCACCACCATCAACAACACTACACATACTACCACCACCACCATCAACAACACTACATATACTACCACCACCATCAACAACACTACACATACTACCACCACCATCAACAACACTACACATACTACCACCACCATCAACAACAACACTACACATACTACCACCACCATCAACAACACTACACATACTACCACCATCATCAACAACACTACACATACTACCACCACCATCAACAACACTACACATACTACCACCACCATCAACAACACTACTAATACTACCACCACCATCATCAACAACACTACACATACTACCACCACCATCAACAACACTACACATACTACCACCACCATCAACAACACTACATATACTACCACCACCATCAACAACACTACACATACTACCACCACCATCAACAACACTACACATACTACCACCACCATCAACAACACTACACATACTACCACCACCACCATCAACAACACTACACATACTACCACCACCATCACAACACACTACATATACTACCACCACCACCATCAACAACACTACACATACTACCACCACCATCAACAACACTACACATACTACCACCACCATCAACAACACTACACATACTACCACCACCATCAACAACACTTCACATACTACCACCACCACAACACTACACATCACCACAACACTACACATACTACCACCACCATCAACAACACTACACATACTACCACCACCATCAACAACACTACACATACCACCACCACATACCACTACACATACCACCATCATCAACAACACTACACATACTACCACCACCATCATCAACAACACTACCACATACTACACACTACCACCACCATCATCAACAACACTACATATACCACCACCACCATCAACAACACTACACATACTACCACCACCACCATCAACAACACTACACATACTACCACCACCATCAACAACACTACACATACTACCACCACCATCAACAACACTACACATACTACCACCACCATCAACAACACTACATATACTACCACCACCATCAACAACAACACTACACATACTACCACCACCATCAACAACACTACATATACCACCAGCACCATCAACAACACTACACATACTACTACCACCACCACCATCAACAACACTACACATACTACCACCATCATCAACAACACTACATATACTACCACCACCATCAACAACACTACACATACTACCACCACCATCAACAACACTACACATACTACCACCACCACCATCAACAACACTACATATACTATCACCACCATCAACAACACTACACCACCACCATCAACAACACTACACATACTACCACCACCACAACTACCACACATCAACAACATACTACCACCACCACCATCAACAACACTACACATACTACCACCACCACCATCAACAACACTACACATACAACACATACACTACACATACTACCACCACCATCAACACTACACACTACACATACTACCACCACCATCATCAACAACACTACACATACTACCACCACCACCATCAACAACACTACATACACCACCACATACACATACACACTACCACCACCATCATCAACAACACTACACATACTACCACCACCATCAACAACACTACACATACTACCACCACCATCATCAACAACACTACACATACTACCACCACCATCAACAACACTACACCATACTACCACCACCACCATCATCAACAACACTACATATACTACCACCACCATCAACAACACTACACATACTACCACCACCATCAACAACACTACACATACTACCACCACCATCAACAACACTACATACTACCACCACCTCAACACACTACACATACCACCACCACCATCAACAACACTACACATACTACCACCACCATCAACAACACTACACATACTACCACCACCATCAACAACACTACACATACTACCACACCACCATCAACAACACTACACATACTACCACCACCATCAACAACACTACATATACTACCACCACCATCAACACACACTACACATACTACCACCACCATCAACAACACTACACATACTACCACCACCACCATCAACAACACTACACATACTACCACCACCATCAACAACACTACACATACTACCACCACCATCAACAAACAACACTACCACCACCACATCAACAACACTACACATACTACCACCACCATCAACAACACTACACATACTACCAACCACATCAACAACACTACATATACTACCACCACCATCAACAACACTACACATACTACCACCACCATCAACAACACTACAACACCACCATCACAACACTACACATACTACCACCACCACCATCAACAACACTACACATACTACCACCACCATCAACAACACTACACATACTACCACCACCATCAACAACACTACACATATACTACCACCACCACCACCATCAACAACAACACTACACATACCACCATCAACAACACTACATATACCACCACCATCATCAACAACACTACACATACTACATACTACCACCACCATCAACAACACTACACATACTACCACCACCATCATCAACAACACTACACATACTACCACCACCATCAACAACACTACACATACTACCACCACCATCAACAACACTACACATACTACCACCACCATCAACACACTACTACCACCACCATCAACAACAACATATACTACCACCACATACTACCACCATCATCAACAACACTACACATACTACCACCACCATACACATACTACCACCACCATCATCAACACTACACATACTACCACCACCACCATCAACAACACTACACATACTACCACCACCATCAACAACACTACATATATCACCACCACCATCAACAACACTACACATACTACCACCACCATCAACAACACTACACATACTACCACCACCATCAACAACACTACATATACTACCACCACCATCAACAACACTACACATACTACCACCACCACCATCAACAACACTACACATACTACCACCATCAACAACACTACCACCACCACCATCAACAACACTACACATACTACCACACATACACTACCACCATCATCAACAACACTACACATACTACCACCACCATCAACAACACTACATATACTACCACCATCATCAACAACACTACACATACTACCACCACCATCATCAACAACACTACACATACTACCACCACCACCACCATCAACAACACTACACATACTACCACCACCATCAACAACACTACACATACTACCACCACCATCAACAACACTACACATCATCAACAACACTACCATACTACCACCACCACACATACCAACCACTACACCACCACCATCAACACACACTACACATACTACCACCACCATCATCAACAACACTACACATACTACCACCACCACCATCAACAACACTACACATACTACCACCACCATCAA